CCTCCATTGATCATAAACCTTTTCTACCAAAGAATCCTGGAACAAAGTCTCTGACAAGAGGAGTTTACCAGAAGTGGTGGCTTAAGAAGATAAGTCGTTCATAATTCGGCCGTTCACATCCAATAATGGACAATAAATAAGACCCATTTTGAAACCGGTAGGTATCTCTGTCTTTTTGAACATTTGAAATATTCCGAAAAGTAACGATTACTTGTTCAAGTAGCGGCCAATTACTTTATCCGCGAGAAAGAAATTGATCTTGTGCTTTTTAACCAAGTGTAATTGTAATTTTTAATCGATTACTTTTTGTGTAACGTGTATGAAACTGCGCATATATTACCCAATAAATTGTACCCTAGAACAAAAATCAACGCCATATCTACGCCACCGTACGCAATTGAGGTAGATGTACGCTCGGCCCATGCCTACGGAAAACTAATGTCTCTTTGTCGCGGCGTCCAGTTCTTCTAGTGTATAACACCGCCTGCAATCCGGAGAGCAAGTCGTCTGCTTCACGGGCAAGAGTTGCGGTGACGTTAGAACAATGCCGAGTTCAGATTCGCTTTGCTTGGAAGGATAGTGGTAGACCTCAAGACTAGATACCACAAGGTCTAGTTAGTACTTTTTGTTCAATGATCCAATAAGAGGTCGGCGTTCTAAAATCATCGCAACCACTGTGCAAGAAGCAGACGAACTTTTGCTCCAGATTGGAATCGTGCGAAAAGGCAATGACGGCACGGTGCGGCTCCTAGCAGAAGCAGATCGGATAGACATCCTGCGTAGCAGCCGATCGTAGATTACAATCATTATCGGCTTATCTTAGTGCAGCGCTACACAAACCGTTCGCAGCCACCGTTGGTGCTAAATTTTCTACACAGGATATGGAAATCGAAAACGTGGACGCCCCCTACCCCCCCCCCCCCCCCAAATGCGCTGACGAAAGAGGCCGCAATCATGTCAATCCCAGCATGTAAGCTCAATCCGACAGCGAGCGAAGACCAATGTGATGATAGGAGGAGCGAAAAATACTTCTCGCGTAGATTTTATCAGTCAGTGGCGCCAGAGAATGTCGTCCCATAGTGATTTCTGGACCGCCAAACACACACGTGCATCGTAGCTTACGATACGGCACGGAGGTACGACATCCTCCGAGACGTTTCAGCTCCGGTCGCACTGCTTATACAACATTCAATAGACAGTCTGCAAACACTGTCTGAGGCTGCTTTCTTCCTAGAGTGACGGTCACATTGGCCATACAAAAACTTTCTGCAGAAACGTTCGAAGTATACACATCAACGAAACATACATGCCTAAAACATGCTTGAGGTGTGAGATAATTCTGCCACCACACTCTAAGAAAAAGTGAGCACCCCCCCCTCGTCATCGCGCGTTTTGACGGCTGTAACTACCCCACAGGCTTACTTAACTACCCACTGGGCTCGAGCCATTGAGAGTTAGCACCTGTTGGCAGGTGACAAGCATGGGGTAGTCACGTTTTATAAACTCTTGAATTGAAAATTCCAGTGCATGCAGTCGTTCAATAGTAAAAGTCACTTCAAAAATCTCAAAAAGTACTTGAAACTTGTTTTTTTTGTGCGTTGGTTATCATTTATTGAAATTTAAACCGGTCGAAACAAGCGTGTGGCTCAGTTCGCCTAAACTGGCAGAAAACAAACAAGTGCAGGCAACCTTGGTAGGCACCTGCTAAAACCCGAGGCAGATAAAAAGTATCACGGTTGTCCTTTTTGGTTCCGTCGCGGGTTTTACCATGTACAGCAGTAAACAGCTGGCAGCTGGCGTCGTGCTCGAGGAATTTAACCAAATCTCTCGAAAAGCACAAGAAGCTACGCACAGGCGTGAGTTGACTCGAATGTTCGCCGGACGAGATACTCTCGTCGTCTTTTACTGTGCGGTTCAGTAAAGAGCGTGCTCTCAATAAAGGTGTGATCGGTCAGTTCTGCGTGCAGATCAGTTGCAACTGGCCTCCTCGGTTCCGCCGAACTTGCGCGCCTGTCGTACCCAATTTTTTTGCTTTCAAGTGCAGTGAAGTATGAAGCATTGAACACCACGACTGAGGCCGGACAGGACGAACGTACACAGATATCCGGGATCATGTCCGTGTATTTCACTATTTTTCTGTCTCGAGGTACAGGATTCGCCTTCTCTGGTTCATTTGGCACATTTCATCGAGCATACTCGATAAAAAAATGCTTCAAACAAGGCCGGTTCAGACACTAGCGTTTGACAGCGTTGCGTCGAGAACCGAAAGCCACTCACCGGCACGTCTGTGCTTCGTATCAAGCGTGGAATCCAATTCAAGGAATCATCTTGGCACGCGATATAAGCAGCAGGGATGTCCTGATTTCTTGCAACGCAGTCAGACGCACGCAGTCAAACATTACTGTCTCAACCAGGATTTAGATAATTTGGCATACGTATTTCGCGTTCGTTGCAGGTGAAGGCACGGGCCCGAAAGCAGCAATTCTGCACTGTCCCCTTGGCGCGAGCGCGAGCGCATAGAACGGATATTTAGCGAAAAGAAGAAAACTGAAATAACGCTTCGGGGAGGACCAGAGCTTTGGGAGGACCGGCGGACGGGCTTCGCTAAAATCACCTGCGCGTGCTCAGTGTACTCAACGTGTACCCAACCGCCGCTAAAGTCAGTCTAGATATGTAAAAAGAGAAAAGAAAATGCATCAGTGTGTTCAGAAAGTTGTGATTGCAGAAATTGGTTTCGATAATTAATACAATTAATAAACAGGCTTTTGTATACTTGAAGTGTAGGCAAGCGAGAAAACGAAACTGTTCAAAATGTGACGTGTAGCAACTACTCAAATTTATTCATAACCTGCAGTTCACTTTTGCAATGGCCCTACATTAGAGATACGAGCGCTTTCCTAAGGGCAGTAGAGGAAAAGAATATATACGGCTAAATCTTGAACAGTCTTTTCGTATTTGTGCAAAATATGACAGTGGTCACCATCCTAATCGGTCACATAAAATACAGCAGTATATAAGCTGGTGGTGTCGACTAGACGTGTGTACAGGAATGTAGAGTGTCAATATGTGATGTAGCTTGTGCTGTTTCTGAATATGTTGATGTATAAAATGCTGTGATGTCTGTATGTCGCGTATGAGTGAAGTGTGGCGTGGGATATGTACGTACGGCATTGTCTGGCGAGGCACTGAAAGCAAGAATTGCTGGTTTCTTTTTTTCTTTAGTTTGAGCGCTGTCCGTTAGGTGGCGCGTGTCGCCGCCCAATTCAAGGAGTCGCGCGTTTATGTGTCTACTTATTTGAGTGAAAAACATGGAGGCCTTCCGCTTCTCGCGGCGTTCCATGGCTCCACGTAGCAGCCACAAAGGGTTCGGTCTGGTTCGGTTCTCGGCCTCTCGTACAAATGGGATCAGTCCCATAGCCAGTTGAATGGGTGTTCCGTGCGGTGAATAGCGCCAAGTGCGTGCACAGACGCGGTGAGGATTACCAGGGACTTGAAAGTGGATAACGAATGCTAACAGGTGAGCAGGAGCGTTGAACGATCGGAACCGACGCCGCTTAAATCGGTGATGCTTCGCCTCGCCGCTGTCAACCAAAACGCCGGATCACTTGCGGCGAGCACAGCAAGCAGATGCTCTGTTCAATAAAGACATCATTCCATTTGTCGCTAGTTTGTTTCCTTCTTTGAATGTCTTCTGGCCGCGAAGTAAATGCAGCCGGCCTCGCGAAAGCAATCGCGGACAAACTCCCTGGAATGCGCCCCCCCCCCCCCTCCCCTCCCCTTCCCTCACATCGTCGCCCCTACTGTATTAGGTGCGGTGCCGGTGCTTCGAGGCGCGTTTCGGAGTGCTTTGCGCGCACGGAAGGCAGCGAACGGGCGTACGCACTTGAGAATCGTATTTTAGCAAAAAGCAGTCCAGCTCGCTAGGCCTTACTCGTATTGCTCCACTGTCGCTTGCCAGCCGCCATGTTGCTTTTGGGTGTGCTCACTGTGAGCACCTGCTGATTGCGTGCCGTGTGACTGCCCATGGGGTTGTTAGTATAACGAAGGGGGGGTTGCGATATCTGTGACGGCTTCTGACTACCCCAAGTGTAGTACCCTAGGACAACCCTTTTGTTGAGAGTGCATGTCTCTAGCCAACGGCCGTGTTACTAGTAAAGGCCTGTTCACACGTGGAGCGGAGCGCTACAAGCATAGCGCTGACCTCGCGATAAGTGCGTGCTGACAGGAGCGTTCACCAGCTTTGTATCGCACCAACAAAACTGTTGCTCATGGGGGACAATAAGCAGCTGGGGGACAATAAGCATGGGGGACAAGATGCGCTCTAAAGAGAGAGGAAGACGAAGCTACCCAAGCTACCAGACGTGTTTTTCTAAGCTCCGCTAAGTCTTCGGTAAACCTTAAGGTTTAATCACTTTGACGGACGGGACCGAGCCACTTGCTTCGGGCCTTCGCTCCAGGGCCAGGAACGAAGACCACGGTGAGGACCTGTAAGTCGGACAAGATGAAAGACATCTTTCTAAGCCCCCGAGGAATGCCTTAGGCCTTAGTGGAACACAATCGGGAGACACCAACGAGACGACTCTCCGTTTACATGGCGGACTTCATGGCGCCGCCAAGTGCTGCGAGCAGCCACCCAAGGCAGCAGATCGGCAGAAATGACCCAAGCAAGTCACTTCGGTCCGAGTGGATTCAACACAGAACAATACAAAATAATCCGCGCGACTGGCGAAACGTTTTACAATTGGGATACGTTACTGAATGACTTTGGAGCCCAAGTTAAGGCTTCGGTGGAATCTCAGATGAAGGCGCAAATGGAAGCACAACAAGCTCAGTTTCAAGCTCGGATTGAGTTACAACTGAAAGCCCAGGAAACTCAGCTTAGAACGCAGTTCGAAACAGAAATGAGGGAACGACTCGACCCACACAAGACAGACTGAAAAAGGCCAAGTACGGAGGAACTCCAGCACGTAGACGAAAGAGTGGCCCTAACACAGCCACCCATGGAGCCGGACAACGAACAAGACGAAGAAAAGGAAGGACAATGGATAGAGGTCCGCCGCGGGAACAACGCGGGCGTGCGCAAGGTCAGAATCAAGAACGACAAGCCTAACACGAAGCTGGACATAGATCACCGAACTTTCAACCAGACCATGAAGAAAGCGGGAATCTCGCTTGAAAACGGAGCAAGAGCAAGGATTGACCCGAGAACCAACGACTACATTGTCACCACAAAGAACGAGGTGGAATATTTCATTTTTTTTTTTTTTTTATTACCTTAAAGACCCCGTTAGGGGTATTACATAAGGGGTGGGTTACACATAAAAGCATTTTTAACAGACATTCATGTCGGGAGGTGGTTGACGACAGTCTCCATGAATACGGACGGACATGTGATGGCGGCGACGTGGTGGGGAAGGCCGTTCCAGTCTGCAGCTGCTTGAGAAAAAAAGGAGGCTAAAAAAGTAGTAGTGCGGGCACGTGGGAGTGTTACTTGAAGTGGATGACCAATGCGCAGAGATATGCGTGATGGGGGCACAATGTAAGGTGCATGGTTGAGCGAGCTGTAGTAAAACTTGTGAAAGAGGGAGAGGCTGGAAGTGCGACGGCGAAGAGAGAGAGGTGTTAGGCCGCATTCTGCTTTTAAGGATGAAACGCTGATATCGTATGAGTAGGCAGAATGAATGAACCTAGTGGATCGATTTTGAACAGATTCAAGTTCGTTAGTAATATATGCTTGGTGAGGGTTCCAGATGGCAGATGCGTATTCGAGTTTTGATCTAACAAGTGATTTGTACGCAAGTAAACGTACGTGCTTCGGGGCATGGCGTAGATTACGTTTTAGAAATCCAAGGACTCTGTTTGCGGCTGATATGACGTTGGTGGTATGCGCGCGCCAAGATAAATCGTTCGACAGTGTTACACCTAGGTATTTAAATGATTCTACAGATTCGACGGTGACGCTAGCAATTGTATACGTAAAAAGAAAGGGGTTACGGCGACGATGGAATGATACAAGTTTACATTTGCTGGGATTAAGGGTCATTTGCCAATAGTCGCACCATTCTTGCACATGGTTAAGGTCATTCTGCAGGCATGACTGGTCGGAGCTGTTAGTGATTGTACGATAAATAACGCAGTCATCCGCAAACATACGAATGCGGCATGACAGATGCGATGGTAAGTCATTTATGTATATTAAGAACAGGAGCGGGCCGAGGACAGATCCTTGTGGGACGCCTGATGTTACTGGGAGAGGGTTAGATGAGTGGTTGTTAACAAAGACAAACTGAGACCGATTAGACAGAAATTCCTGGACCCATTGAACAATAGCAGTGTTTAGATTTAATTGGGAAAGTTTTAGTAGGAGGCGCTGGTGCGGTACTTTGTCGAATGCTTTGGCAAAATCTAAAAAAACAGCGTCGGTATGAAGGTTATGGTCAAGATTAAAATGCAAGTCATGAACGAAGAGTGCAAGCTGAGTTTCGCAAGAGAAGCCCTTACGAAAACCGTGCTGGGAGGGGTGGAAAAAGTCTATAGAGTCTAGGAAATTAATTATATGAGTGTAGATGACGTGTTCCATGGCTTTGCAGGGGACGCTTGTTAAAGAGATGGGACGGTAATTTAGTGGGGAGTCCTTGTTACCCGATTTGTAGACCGGAACGACCCTTCCCACCTTCCAGTCGTCCGGTAAGATGCCTGTAGAAAGTGATTGTGAAAACAACATGGTCATGTACACAGCAGATACACGTTTGGTATTTTTTAAAAGTTTTGAGTTAATTCCGTCAACGCCGGCTGACGATGAGAGTTTGATATTTTCAATTAATGATGAGATGCCATCTACAGAGAATGTGAGAGCTGGCATAGTAGATACTGCGTTAGAAGGTATTAAAGAGGGAGGGACATCGGTTTCTTCGGTGAACACGGAAAAGAAGGCGGAGTTAAAAGCGTTGGCGCACTCGGTGTCAGTGACTATTTCGCCCGCTCCGTTCGTCAGGCTAATGATGCGCGTCTCTTGGGGATTTATAACTTGCCAAAATTTTTTAGGATTGTTAATTAAGATCTTTGGTAAGTCATCATAAAAAAAGGAATGCTTTGCGTTACGTATAGATGCCAGATAGGAGTCTTCAGCTGCGTAGTATTTTTCCCATGCGCAGGGGTTTCCATTCCGCTTGGCCGAGCGGAAAAGACGTTTTTTTTTGTTACCTAGTTTTTTCAAAGACTTTGTAAACCAGGGTTTCTGTCGATTCTCACGGAACGTAATTAGTGGGATGAATTTATTTGCAAGTTCATTTAATTTATTTCTGAACATTATCCAGTTTGTATTAATAGAGCGATTAGAAAATGATGCTTCAAAAATTGGAAGAAAGGCGTTTAGCTCATTGTTTATTACTTCATAATTTCCCTTATCATATAGACGAATTCTTTTATCGCTTGTTTGGTGTCGTACCGGGCAAAAGTTGAAGGTAGCATGGATTACTTTGTGGTCGCTGATTTCGCGGAGATAAGTAGCCGATGATAGGCTTTCGGGATGACTGGTTAGTATTAGATCTAGGATGTTTGCAGAATCCCGTGAAACACGTGTGGGTTCGGATACTAGTTGAACAAGGTTAAAATCAAGACATACGTTAATAAAATCTTTTGCGGCTTCATTGCCTATAGCTGAGGGGATCTGGTTGCTCCAGTCTATTTGCGGGTAGTTAAAGTCTCCAAAGAGAAGGATATGCGCATTCGGGTACGTTAAGGCGAATTCACTAAAGATGTTATTAAGTTTACAAGAAAAGTCAGGAGAAGAATGGGGAGGCCTGTAGCAGACTCCCAAAAGAACCGTCTGAGGTGAAGCGCGACATATGATCCATAGTATTTCAAGGTCGGATGTAATGTTAACAATAGAACATGACAACTGCTGGTGTACGGCGATGAGAACACCTCCTCCTCGTGTGGCTTGGCGGTCATTTCTATAAAGGCGGAAGTCCGGCAAATCGGCCAGAACTTCAGCATCAGTGATTTCTTTAGACAGCCAGGTTTCGGTTAATATCAACAAATTACTACAAGAGGACAACACGAGATTAGACAAAATTTCTCGTTTCGGAAGAAAGCTTCGCGCGTTGGTGAAGATTACGGAAAATGAAAGATTAGTTTTGGTAGAATTCCGAGAGGGGGCTGTTATTTTCTTCTGACGGGGCAATTGCTATGCTGTTTCCCTTACTGTCTGTGATGGTTCATCAAAAATATAGCGTTTCGGGCCCATAAGTAGTGTTTTAAACCGTAAAGAAAACGGCGTATTTTTGCTTTTTGCAAACGCAAGTAGGTGTTTGCGAGCATTTTGGACGGGCCGAGAAAAGTCTTCGCCAACACTGAAACTTGTTCCTTTGAACTTGCGGCCATTAGATAGTATGGTGTCTTTTGTCTTATAGAACGTGAATTTAACGATTACTGGGCGAGGGCGGTCAGATGTGTGATGTCCAAGACGATGTGCACGCTCTATTTCTTTGGGGTCTATGGTTATGTTCAAGTGATCACGACAGTGCCGGATGACGAGCTGTTCTGATTGGGCAAACGTTTCTGGTCCAGTGGAGTTAGGGATGCCATAGAAAATGAGGTTGTTGCGTCGAGAATGATTTTCGGCATCGTCGAAGCGTGCCTCCAAGCCACAGACCAAACGGGCCGTCTGAGCCGTCTCGATTTTTACATTTTCTAATTCGGTGCGCACGGGGGCGAGATTTTGATAATGGTTTTCGAGCGCAGTCATGCGCCCGCTTAAATCTGATATCGCTTTATCTGTTGTTAATAGCTGGGTTTTAAGGTCTTGTACCTCTGCAAGTAATTTCGATTGACCGGTGGATAGTTTTTTTAGCTCGGCTAGTATGGCGTTAGTATCAGGACCAGGATTAGTTTCGATGTCCCCCGATTGCAACAGCAAGGAACGGATGACATGGAAGCACTCAATCGAAATGACAACGCAACACTGCGGGCTCGGCAGCTGTATCAAAAAGTAGTTACTTGTTTTTTTAGAGAAAAGACTGCACGATTTACTAACCTGCACGAAAAAGTTGAACGGATTAGTGGTCTGCGTTGTGGCACAGCCACCGAGCCCACAGAGCGACATCGGCTGCGTCGGCTGGTTTATAGTGGCCGGGTAAGCGGCTGTTGATGACGATGGGGCCCTCCACACTTGGCCGAGGATCAATTGCTTGAGTGACGAGTCTGCCGGACGTGACGAGGCGTTGCTGATGGCCGGGTGGTAGCTGCTTGCTTGGTCTTCGTTGTTCCAGATTGTGCATGCTGTCGTGCCGTCCGAGGAAGCCAGCACCGGGAGCAAAGCGCGGAGGAGAATGAAGGAGAACATCTGCACGAAAAAGTTGAACGGATTAGTGGTCTGCGTTGTGGCACAGCCACCGAGCCCACAGAGCGACATCGGCTGCGTCGGCTGGTTTATAGTGGGCGGGTAAGCGGCTGTTGATGACGATGGGGCCCTCCACACTTGGCCGAGGATCAATTGCTTGAGTGACGAGTCTGCCGGACGTGACGAGGCGTTGCTGATGGCCGGGTGGTAGCTGCTTGCTTGGTCTTCGTTGTTCCAGATTGTGCATGCTGTCGTGCCGTCCGAGGAAGCCAGCACCGGGAGCAAAGCGCGGAGGAGAATGAAGGAGAACATCTGCACGAAAAAGTTGAACGGATTAGTGGTCTGCGTTGTGGCACAGCCACCGAGCCCATATGGAAGGCTTTGTAACCTGAAGAAGTTTACGAATGAAAGAGGCGAAAGCACGGAAATCAAAGTGATACCAGGCCTCGCAAGCAACCACTCGAGAGGGGTCATATACCTGAGAAACCCGGGGAACGATATGGAAGCCCTCTGCGAAGAAATCATATGCAAGACGCATCAGGCCATTTTAGCGACCATAATTGGCAAGAAAAGAACAACAGTCCTATTAACGTTTGAAGGGAAGGAATCACCAAAGAAGCTAGCGGTTGGACTTATCATTCAAAAGGTCTTCCCATACACGCCAAGGCCGGTAGTCTGCTACCGTTGCCATAGAATCGGCCACAAGGCCGAAACATGCACAAGCAAGGTAGAAGTATGTAAGACGTGCGGAAAACCCCACCCAAACGGGCTAGACGCGCCATGTGGAGGGGACCCCACATGCGTGAACTGCAAGGGGAGACACCTGGCGCTCAGCAGGGATTGCCCGATGAGAGTCCCGCGGAAGGACGGCAAACTCACCTACATGCAAAACACTGAACAGAAAGGAAAAAGCGCAACTCGCACGGAAACGGCAAAACCAGCGAACAGTGCTGAAAAGAAGACATACGCAGCTGCAGCAAGAAAGAAACCTGTTGGGGAAATCAAAGACCCTCTCATAGCATTATTGCGGCAACTCACCAAGCTTCTCTCAGACGAATATGGAACCTGAGCTAAGAGACATAGCCCCAAAAAGAATGTATTGGATACTACAATGGAACTGCAGAGGAATTAAAGGTAAAATTAACGAACTCAAAACCAGAATAGAGACATGGGGAGACAAGAGCCCCGACATTCTTCTCCTGCAAGAAACGAGGCATGCTAACCTGAAGGTCAGGGGCTACAACACATATCTGAACACGACGGTAATCACCAACACGAGCAAGCAGGAAAAAGAGGGGGTCGCCGTACCACTAATCAAGGAGACACACCCTCAAAGCCAAATTAACACGGATTTTGCTTGCAATGAGGACGAAGAATTGGTAGGAGCCACAACCACAATTGGTAAAAAAACCTACTCTTTCTTCTCCTTTTACCAGAAGCCGGGGAAAGGAGATGAACACTACAGATGGATTAAACGGATACAGAACATAACCCAGCATAAGAGCATTGTTGGGGGAGACTTCAATGCAGAACACAGCGTATGGGGAAACCAAGACAACAGAAAAAGGATGAACCTGCTTCACCAAATGCACGGGAACTCCTTCGAATGCCTCAACAAGCCAGGAGGAAACACACGATTAGGGAACAAGAACCAGAAGGACACAACCCCGGACAGCTCCTGGACGAGGAGAGTACCCGAAGTCGACTGGGAGGCCCACGACGATACATGGGGTAGCGACCATGTTCCAATAATCATCACTCTTCACAGAAAGACCAGAGAGAAACGAACGGCCCGGGTCATCAATTGGGACAAGTTCAGAGAGATCTTGAAGAAGAAGATTCAAGTAGAAGGCCCAACAGATATAGAGAAACACATAAAGAAAGCCGCACAAGAAGCCACCACGACAACGCAGGTGGACGCAGACGCCCCTAACCCGGACCACCATTTGACAAATCTCCAAGAAGCGAGACACAAGGCACTGCTGAGGTACAGAAGGAAGAAGACAGACACCAGCAGGAGAATAATCCTTAACAGAGCCACACAAGAGGTGACGGCTTACACAAGAAAACTGAGAAAGCAGACATGGATACAGCACTGCGAAGGGTTTAACGACCGCACCGGCGTCAAGAAGCTCTGGAACACATATAGAGCCATGCTGGGGAAGAAAAAGGAAAAGAACACGGGTCGCAACCTCGCACTGAAACTAAACATGTCGGAAGAAGAGCTGGCGCAAAAGCTCGGAGAGACCTTCTTCCCACAACCCGTCGACTGGACACCTCTTCTAATAGAACACACGGAAGAAAGAAAAGAACAAGACGTCAAGTTCAGTATAGAAGAGCTAAACTACGCCATCAGTAGGGCGAAAAAGGGCACTGCACCCGGGGAGGATGGCGTTACGCCTGCCATGTTGAAGAACCTACCGGATGAGGGAAAACATGCTCTCCTTGACCACTACAACAGGATATGGGAAGAACACACTCTACCACAGGGTTGGAAGCATTCAACGGTCATCCCAATTCCAAAACCAAACAAGCCCAAAGATAAGATGGCGAATCTTAGACCAATCTCGCTAACTTCGAACATATGTAAGACTATGGAAAGAATGGTTCTGGAAAGAATAAACTGGACACTAGAAAGCAGAAACAGCCTAGCCCCGATGCAGACAGGGCTCAGAAAAGGGTTGTGCACACAAGATAGCCTAGCAATGCTTCACCACGACCTGACAAGCAGAAAGGTTACCAAAGTACCAAAATTCCTAGTGGCCGTCGACATCAGGAAAGCGTTCGACTCAATCCCACACAAATCTGTCATAGCCAGCGCGAAAGAAAATGGAATCAAAGGCAACATGCTCCGCATCATTCAAGATTTCCTCGAAGAACGCACATATAAAGTTAAAGTAGGGGAAACAGAGGGACTGATTCAATACAATAGGATAGGAGTCCCCCAAGGAGCAATACTCTCTCCGACCCTATTCAACATAACGATGACTGCACTGGCAAAAAAAACTAGAAAAGATCCCAAACTTATCATTCACAATTTACGCAGACGATGTAACAATATGGACCAAGGGAGGGCAGACTGGAAAACAAGTCAAGGCGATTAAAGAGGCACTGAGAGCAATAGACGACTTCGCAGAAGAAGTCGGGCTACAAGTTGCTCCAGAGAAGACAGCCTTGGTCATCATCGCGACACCAGAAGGAAGGAAGGCAACAGCAAGCAAACACAAGTTCACCTCCGCAGGAAGACAGCTAGAACCAACCAGATCGACAAAAATCCTCGGCATGAACATCAGCCAAGACGGAAAAGCGAAGGAGTGGCTAGAAGGTCTACGAAAAAGCTGGACACATATCCTTGGAATCATCAAAAGAACGGCTACAAAATCATGGGGTGCCAACGAAAATACACTAAGAACGTTATTACATGCCTTCTTAGTGTCTAAGGCAATCTACGGGTACAACTACGCCACACTCACTAAGACACAACAGGAGAAAATCAAATGCCTGATGAGAAAAGCCCAAAGAGTCGTAACGGGCCTCCCGAACCACGCAAGATTAGAAGAGGTCAGGAAATGGGCGCTCCTCAACGACATCGAGGACATTGCCCGGGAAGGCGCTGTTTCGCAAATAATAAGGCTTCACGGAACAAAAGCAGAGAGGGTCATCCTAACCAAGCTTAGAAAAATCAACCTGCAGATGGAGGAGCCCGAGGAACCCCTACCACCGTGGGAAACCTCTCTGCCACAAGAAGGAAAACCGCCGCCCAACGCAGGGAGGGAAACAGCAAGCACGAGGCACCAAAATAGAATTCAAGCGCTTAAGGACCCCAACAAGGAAGTGATATACACTGACGCAACTGTTACAAGGGAGAATCGTGCAGCCTGTGCCTGGTATAACATCACCACGGAGAAAACAGGCAGAGCAATTCTGCCTGAAAAGACAACCGTCAGAGACGCAGAAATAGAAGCGACAGCCAAGACAATTAAGGACCATCAAGGCAACACCGGAAGAAAATATTACCTTTCTCGGACTCGAGGGAAGCCATCCAGGAGTACAGGAGCCCAGCCACAACACTGAAAACGGTGCAAGAAACAAGTAAATACATCGATGAAGCCAAGAAAGCTGGCACGAGCTTTACGCTTGAGTGGGTCCCAGGGCATGCGGGGATCCAGGGCCACGACAGGGCGGAGCGGGAAGCGGAGGCGGCGCTCATACACCATTATAGCACCCTTAGTCAACTTCCCGCGGTAGACTCCATCGATTCCACGGACCCCTACGATTACCCACCAGACATCGCAAAACAAGTAAATAAAGAAAAAAGGAAAAAAAGGCTGGAAGCTCTAAGGCCAATACCCCCCGCCCTTCCAAATATGAGACTCAGCAGATGGCAAAGTGTATGTCTGAGAAGAATCATCTCGGAAGCTGCAAACACGCCTGAAACTCTCCACAGGAAAGGCATTATTAAATCTAGTGAATGCACATCCTGTGGGTTTACTGGACCAGCAGGACTAGAACACCTCATTTGGGACTGCCCAACATGGGAGAGGGCAAGAGCAAGGCACATCAAGCAAAACAAAATCAAGGACTTATGGACTGGTGCCAACCAGTCTTTAACTTTGAAGAGAGCGATCGCAATAGAGGTCTAGTCAAGAGCCTACTAGACTTTATTGCGACGACAGGAATCAGAAAGTTCCTCTGACCTAGTTACCCAATAATTTCCGTTTCCTGGAAGGCTATCGGCTTCAGCCACGTGACTTTCTTTCTAATAAAAACGATTTTTCTATCTATCTAGCATGGGGGACAATAAGCAGCGCTATATCAGCGCTTCGCTGCATCTAAGAACCGGCATTAAGATGTATGACGAGTTTTACCGCGGCACACCTATGGCTCCCGCCACGGGATCACTTTCCCATTCGTTCCCAGGCACAGAAACTACGGGGTCGACTGATGAAAGTGAACTGGTTGATGGGCCCGGTGAGCACGTAGCTCCTCCCACCGCCCTGTCTGCTTACGGGTGAACGGAATACAGTCTCGAAATGCGGCATTCCAGAGGTAAAAAGGCGGTGAACTGGCCCAGTTGGTTGACGTCATACATGATGGGGAAAACAACTCAGAAAACGCGGATTACGAAAAAGAACAAACACGACGGGACAATGCTGTACTCGCAACTGAAGGATTTGAGTGATGGATGCCTCTGTTTCATTCATTAAAATTCTTCATTTGCGAGTACAGCATTGTCCTGTCGTGTCGGTTCTTTTTCGTAGTCCGCGTTTTCTGAGCTGTTTTTCCCATCAAGTAATCCACTGGTCCTTACCAATACCACATAGAACCGTAGACCTGCGAACCCCCCCCCCCCCTCCCCACCCCAACCTTCCCCCATACGAGATCGATCCAGGCAGCACCGCCCACCTCGCGCCAGCATCATCAACAGCGCGTGTTAAGCAGGGAACGCATGAGCGGCAAAAACGGGCGCCGCGCGCTGATTCCCATACCAACTGTTCAGGACGCTGTAACGTGGACCTATGCCAAACCGCCACGTCACAGCGTGCGAGTTGCCATGGAAACTGCCACGCGGCGCCCGTTTTTGTCGCTCTTGTGTTTAGTAGAGTGCCTTCATACACACGCGCGTCTTCGCTTGAGTGGTGACATCTCAGCCATTTTTCCGCTCAATTGTTTTTCATGCCTTTTGAAGTGCGCGCAATCCGGTGTCACTCAGCTCGAGCGCGTAGCTTTGGCTAATTCATAGACGCCATTTTACCGCCCAAGTCATGCACCGAGTGCGCGAGAGCGTCACGCGCTGGCACATTCCGTGCAACAATGGATGTCTTCACCCTGAGACAGACAGACATGCAGGCACCCTAGTGTTTAGTGGTTTACAGCGCCTCAGAACGAGCGCCACGCGCTAGCACGTGGCGGTGTAAAATGGGTTGTGTGTGTGTTTATACAGCCTAGAACTTGGTCTGCCTCACAGGGGCGACGAGTCTCCCAGCTGTAGATGAGAAATTTAGCCAGTGCGGTACAAACCGCTAGCCTGGGGTCTTTAACGTGCGTCACGCAGTAGTGATACACGACCGCACGCCGGTACGATGCTCATCCAGATCGAAACGGGCAGGGGTGGGGCTCGAACCCAGGATCCCTGGGTTCTGCAGCGCGAGCTTTCGCTCCACGTGCTCCGAGCTGGTGTGCGCTAGACCACTCGGCCACCGATCCCCCCACGCGGCGGTGTCAAGACGGATGCGTCTGCGGCCCCGCGATGCTCTCGTCGAGCATCACGCTCTTTGCCGCTGGGGGGCGGGTTGGGAATCCGCTGACATTGACGTCATGCGCAGGCCTCGTCTACGAGGTGAAATTATCCTTGCCCGCAGTTGTTCAACGAGCTTTAAAGCGGCGGTGCAACGATATTCAGTTGGAATGTTTTTCACTTTACACGAGCTTACTGGCACTAGGAAACCTCCAGGATATTCGCACGCAACGCCACTGACCAAGAAACTCCTTTGTTGCGCTGTAATTTCGAGGAAAAAACTGAGCGTTTTCATTCAATCTCTTCTTCGCAAAACCTGATGACGTTTTTCGGCGGTCGCACTACCGCCCAGTGATGATATTTGAATGCGACTCATAGATTGGACCCGAGCATTGCGTGAGCACTCGATTTGGGCTCGTGATAATTACTAGCTCGAGAAGCATTCGGACAGTGTCCTCTGTCCAATCGCTGCAATGACGACAACAGCCGAACCATAACAATGTCTGGAACGCAGCGCGTGTAGCTGTGCCTTGCCAACCCCAGCGCATGGCTATGATCAACATTGGCGGCATATAATCGGCTCCAGGGGGATCGGTGGCCGAGTGGGCTAAAGCGCACACCCAGCTCGACGCGCGTGGAGCGAAAGCTCGCGCTGCAGAACCCAGGGATCCTGGGTTCGAGCCCCACCCCTGCCCGTTTCGATCTGGATGAGCATCGTACCGGCGTGCGGTCGTGTATCACTACTGCGTGGCGCACGTTAAAGACCCCAGGCTAGCGGTTGTACCGCACTGGCTAAATTGCTCATCTACAGCGTGTGACTCGTCGCAACTTTAATGGCTGACCAACTACACGCTGTATAAATATCCCCACAACCCAATTATTATAATCGGCTCCAGGTCACGTGGCCGCTTGTTCTGGCTGCGAGTTGAGGGGGTGAACTCTGTTCGGTTTTCTTTATTTTTTTCTGCGACTTCGATTGCGTGTGGTGAAAAACGAACGGGTATTTTACAGGTCATTAACGTCAAGGATCCGTTCTAAGCGGTATTTGCGCAAACTACAAAAATCGTTGCATCGCCCCATTAAATATTTTCATTTTTTTTTTCTGCGTGTGATTTTAGATGAATTTATATGACGCTCTCGGCAGTAGGCGTGTGCTCCCCCCCCCCCTTAACCCCTTCTTTCCTCAAAAAAAGAAAAACAATATTTGTTTTTTGCACCGCAAAAACAAAAATAAACTAAGTATCGCCGCACGCTCACTCTCTGTCTAAATGTAGCACTAGCGGGCCGAACTAGACACCTGATTTTCAGAACTAAGCGTTGTCTCGTTCAAATATTGGATTTGATTTTCTGGGAATTTCCATTGGGGAAATGCGGCAAGGTTAAAGCCTGTTTTTTTTTTTTTTTTTTTTTTTTTTGAGAAAAAAAAAAGGGGGGGGGGGGGAGGAATCTCCACCATTCAGCTCTGTGCATTTGAAAACTCAGTCGTTCGCCATTTCCCTATTCAAAATAAAAACAAAAAACTGCTTCCGAAGCAGGAACTTCGGCGTCTACTTCGGACTCTTAGGACTACATTCGGGCGGAGACTGAGTGTCCGGCGAGGTAGCTTACTTTTCCGGTGAAATAACGTCGTAATATATATACAGATATATATATATATATATATATATATATATATATATATATATATATATATATATATATATATATATATATATATAGCCTTCCTGACGAAGGCCGGACTCCGGCCGAAACGTCGAAGATAAAATCGTCCGTTGTTGCTGTTTTTCACTAAGGGTTTTTTTCTTCTCAGTTTTATACCCACGCCTTCGGCCTCCCGCCACCATGCCCGTTATATATATATATATATATATATATTTTTTTTTTTTTTTTTTTTTTGGGGGGGGACGTCTTGTGCATCTTGTTTTTTAGGTTGACACCTTTGTTTTCGCACGATATTGCGAACGTCTAAAAGTTCGAGATGTCAAGCCCGGCCGTGCTTTGACGACAAGCGCGTAGCGCGAGATTCCCGACCGGTCGTGCCCTGATGGAGCCCGTGGTCGTCGGTCGTGGCCACTTAATCGTGTGTCATCGTGAGGTGTTAAGCTTCGAAGTTGACCGCCGTGATTTTTCAACCCCCGAGTGTTTTGCCTACGGTTGTTTTCCCTATTTCTCGGCTACCATGAAGGCAGCTAGACTATGTTTCTCATGCTGAGTTCGCAGGTTTTTCTCTTCAAGGTTGCTTTTCCCCTTTCCTCCAACTCATGTTTACCAACCGAAGCGCCCTTAGCGGCCCCCGACCGGTGTCGCGCATGCGCGATGGGGTGTGGGCAAGAAAGGCGACGCCTCGGATCAACGGGGCACTGGAATGGGATGTCGGCGTCGGTGTGAGACTCGGTTCTCTTTATCGCGTTTGAATCATTTATACTACATCTTCCTGTCCACCCCTTACTGCTTTAGTGGCCTGAGCGAAATTGCCCAGCCTCGTTACACCGCAAACCTCCGCGTAAACAATGTGACGTGCGGCAAATCATATCTAGTTTGTGTGATTTGAGACTTTCATGTGCTAATACTTCGATGCCACATGGGAAAATAGAACGTTATGTAATACCGCTCAAAATATAAGTAGTAAATTTTAGAAGTGAACGGAGTACATAAAAGTGGAAGCGAGAGTGGGAGAAAGAGAAAGAAAAACTTTATTTACAACGCCCGTGTCCGCGCAGTGAACTGTGAACAGGAATGCAAGGAAACTTGTTTGTATCCCATAATTATTTCTGATTATGTTTATTATTATTTCCTATATGTTGTCGAAGATGATGTTGCATTGGTAACGTCGTCATTGAAGCCTCGTTCGTTGTCCAGCTGCCGAGCGAGGATCCGCCACTGCTTGGAGTGGAGCAGGAACGCGTCGACGCACTCGTGACGCCAGGCCCCGCGCAGCTCGCGTTCCAATGGATCAATAAAATTTCTCTCCAGGCTCGTGCCCAGCTCGTACTGCGAAGAGACACGAGAGAAATGTATGCCTGTTGTCCTTGTTGCTCGGGGTTTTCACCGTAGGAACCCCCAGCAGAACGACTCTCGCTATGGACGACCATAAGTGTGTTAAGTTTATGAACTATCATAGTAATTTACAGTCTATAGGCAAGCGTATGCGTCTTGCAGTGTACGAACGACCATGTGTGTCTCATGGTCTATGGACGACCACGTGTGTCTGAAGGTCTATGCACGACACCGAGTGTCTTATAATTAATGGACAAGCTTGAGCGTATTGCATTCTACGAACGGCAATAAGTGTCGTATGGTCGTCCATAATACTACGTTTTGATTGTATTTTGATGGTTGTCAATCCCGCGATGCCTCCCTGCTCGAGGTGTTGCACCTACCCGAGAGCCCGGACACACGAGCATTAACTGATCCAGACTAATGTCCTTTTCTCGCGGGAAAGTTTATAGAGCGTTTTATAGTAGGGAACACCAGCACGGTGGGTCACCAAACCAGCTTCGGATGTAGTAATGAGCATGCGCAGAAGGTCCGCACTTGGGCAGTGCGACGCCCCAAGCTGATTGGGGGACCTAAAGCGGTGGTGCTAAACTCATTTCCAGTTAACGTCCTTTCGATTACAAATTAGATTTCTCTCGAAGACCGTGCCACACGGACAGTTTTATCGACATTAAACGTCATAATGGTGATTATGCTCATTCGCTATTTTTGTAACGTATTCGAAAAAGGAAAACCTAATTTTCACGTTGAAAGAGTCTTAAATTACATTTGAAAATAAAGGGACGCTGATGTGGGATGGAAATTGCTCCTTCTATTGGGAAGGAGATCGAACTGTCGCGCCCCCAGTGGCTGAATTAAGAACTACACCACTGAGGACAACAACAACACCACAAACTATTTATTTGTGTTTTGACGCAGAGCTCGACATTGGCTCGACGCACGTAGCCGAACTTCGCGCCAACGTTCGGCTGGGGCTCTTGTTCAATCAGTGAAGCCGAACGCGGACGCAGCAAAACATTGGGCACGAGTCTTGATTAATCCTTGCCCCGCGATCAATCGAGAAAGATGAAGTAAAGAATCCACTGCACGTGCCTTGTGTCGATAAGCGCAGAACTAAGCAGAACTACGCGGAAAACAAGCTGCAGGTAGCGCCCCTTATAGCTCGATCTCCTCGCTCATACTCCGTTCTACCCTAAGCAATCAGCCGCCTGCCTCTCATCACGTGATTCCGCTCCCTGCGCTTGGGTGTGCGATTACGTGGGCAAAGATAGGCGTGCGATTGGTCCAACGAACATCGTATTTCCACCGCGCTGCTGGGTTTGGGGTGAACGGAGCATATTAGAGCCGTCTTCGCCTGATTCCATGGCTTAAAATCCGATGTAAAGTGGCATCTGCGGCATCGTCTGTGGTACCAAATCTGAATGAAAGCCCGGCATGTACCAGCAGAGTGCCTTTTTCTTATCACTCTCAGTAGTTGTTATTGTTTTTTTTATTATATGATGCAACACATTGTAATGGGAGAAAAACTAATGTGTATGTATTAACGCATGTAGATATCAACCTTGTTTGTGCACTTTTCAGTAAATACAATTTCGTATTCCTGGGCGGATCGATAGCCGATTGTGGTACCGCATATCTGCTCAGAGCACTGAACGCCAATGCTCCCACTGCAAAATATAGGATTCCTGGATTTAATCCTCGGAATTAGGGTGGAAATGCCCGTTTCCATCTGAATGAGCATGCATCGTACCACCGTGTGCGGTCTGCTCTCACTACAGCGTGAGGCACGATAGCAACCCCAGACCAGCAGTCGCATTGCAGTGGCTCCATGTTTCATATGCAGTGGAGACACTCGGATGCCCGCTTCCGCTGACTAACGTTCCGCTCATAATGGATACACGCAACATAATTGATTTATATTTTATATTTGACTTTTAAAGGCGTTTCAGTCGTGCCAAAATCAGCTATGATTGAGTTCCCACGAACTCATTATGGAAGCGAGTCTGGTGTACTCAGCAGCGGACGTCCTGAAATGTGACCGTGTGACAGTTCGCGAATGGTATACGGCCCTGATATCACTTGCTATTTATAATATTTATTTTAACGCAACATGTGTTTTTGTATTCATTTACATCATAAACTGTCATGCCATGGACTGTAGCGCTCTACCGCCACTCGTAGGTTAAAGCAATATGAAGTTCATAGGGACCAGTATTAAACACGAATTTAAGAATAATCCACTCTGGTGGTAAATTTGAGACCAGTGACTTTCAACCAGATAATATACCGGCTGAGCTGAGCAGGGCAGGAGTGTAGTGAAAGCCAAAAGTTTGCTTATAAGGTTTATTATTTAAACCAGTTGAATTACGGTTGAGAAAGACCGGGGATAAGTAATATGTCGAGTAACTGAATGCTGAAGAACCGCTTCGCTTCTTATATAACGACTTCTTCCCTCGTGATTCCTTTTCGGCGTAATTATTGAGTAACGCCGCAAGCGATAATAATATCTTCAGGACACGCCATGCCCTCCCTTCCTTAGGATGTCTCCAACTACGTCATGCACATGAGGTGTGTTGCGCTCGCTTCGCACAGGTAATCTCCGACCACATTCACGCGCACAGAACATGCTCGATCCACACACTCCAGCCGTATCACAGCTCAACACATTGCGTGTCGTGTTTGTTTTGTATGCTTCTCTATCTGTATGTTAGTCTGTTTGAAGACAGCATGGCTCGCGTACCTTCCGCATGACCCGGTGGATGGCAGAGAAGGCGGGTGCCCTCTCCGGGGCGATGAAGCACTTTCGGTTCGCGTGCAACATGGCGGGCGTTTCTCCCGAGCACGACCCGTGGAACCTGCAGTTGTCCTGGCGGTAGCCCCACCTGCACGTCAACAGGAGCATCTTGTCCGGGTGGGCGCTGAAGAGGATGTTCAGCAAGTCCTGGTCGGCCCAGGGGATCCGGCCAGCGTACTCCTCCATCAAAGGCGCCATGCGCGACACCCAGTCGAAGCTCCGCATGCGCGTGAGGTTCATGGGCATCACGCCGGCGTTCACTCCTGGGGCAAGTAAAAGAATCCCAGTTGCTGGTCGCGTCTTGCATCGGCACGCTCTGCAGAGCACCGGCAACACGTCACCACACTAACCATGCAGGGATTCGTGTGACGTCGCAACGTGACGTGATATTATGGTGTCACGCTACGCCGCGGAGTGACTTGACGTAATAGAATCACGTCATGGTGCTACGTGATGTCACGTGACAGCTTGATGTTTAGCGGAGAGATCGCCCTGCTATATTCAGTGGAAATTATTTTCCGCTATTTGCACCGCAGCCCAGAGAACATGAAGCGAAACCTCGCGCATGCAGAATCCATGCATCCTTGGTCCAATATACCGATCTCACCAGTTACTTTTATTATGCCACCGCTGCTGGTATGAATAATGGGAACTGCCTCTATTAGCGGCGAAATGTTCTCGTGGCGCCCTTCTATGCTTCCCCCTTGTGACGTCATTACCATGCAAACAACAAGTTTGATGGTGTTTGTAAATAGCATGGTGGAAGCTTGAAATCATTGCGCTCTCAAAGGAACACTGCCGACACCGTCAAAATTAAAGTTCTTTCATTCCTCTTATTTCCGTCGATGATAAACCCCTTTCCGACGTCATAGTCAGCGTTCTGCCAATCGTGGAAGGCCGACCACAGCGACGCTTGCGGTCGCGCACGGGGCTAATACACGCGCGAATGCCTCTCTGGAGCTCTGCGCCAAGACGGCACGATCAATCTCGTTCACTGGCGCGTGTCCCCTTTGAACTACAGTTAAGGCGCGTCACACATGCGTAGAACGCTCCGAGATATCGGTCTATGCGCAACTTTCACCGATGGTGGTACCGCGGTGTGAGAATCGCGCTTCCTAGCTCCTGGATGATCGGCTTTTAAACGAGGGTGCTTGCTGAAGCCGGGGTCACACCGCTCATACATTGTACAAAAGACAGTCTGCAAACAGGAGTCACCGCAATATCCGTGGTTCCAATTTCGAGTGCCGAAGTCTCACCTTGAACGAATCGCCATGGGGCATTCGAAGCACGGATCTTGCGGTGAATGCCGTTTCGATTTCTCTGCGGACTGTCTTTTGTATGATGTATCACCAGTGTGACCCCGGCTTTGACACTTCCTGGCGTTGAAGTATCAAATACGGTTCTTATATCTCTCGTATTTCACAAAATTAAATTACCTACGTGACACAGACCCAACCTCGTTCTGCTGTTCAACGACGACTTAAGGAACGTAGGATCTGCCGCGTCCCGAGCAAATTCTTTGTTGATTGGGTTTTCAGTAAAACGTTCAGCCTTTCGACTCTGGTGAAGAAGGAAGAGCAGCGGAGCTGTAGCTTCTGTTCTCGGCGGTGGCTTTCTAGGTGAGCGATCTGCTCTTTTTTTCGCAAGGGAATCTGAAGTGCTCGACGGGGTGAAACTTTAGGCGATGGCGTCCTCACGGCGGTTAGGGAACAGCCATACCCGCTACTGCATACATCGCCGCTCGTTCCGTTCCCGCTCTTCTTGCTCCGAAGAAATGTCGCCGCCATCTATGAGCGACGGCAGCAACCAGTTGTCTGGTTTCCGAGGCTGGAAAGGTTACCGCGATCTACGAGCGACGTCGGCAAGCAGACAGCCGGCAAACACAACGGATGGATGGATGGATGAATACGGCTGAGCCCTTTGGATCGGGCGGTAGCTTACGCCACCTAGCCATTTTGTTTTACCATTTAAGCTTAGAATATTTAAATGTGAAATCTATATTCACTCCGCAGTGCAAAGAAAGTGAGGCTATGAAACCCCCTTGCCATCAGTGATTAAGAAAATACCTAGTTTTCTCTCGATTTCTGCCACCATTCACTTAATCTTTGCTTGGTAATCTCTACAGTCTTGAAATCCACTCTCCCTTCGCTGTCTCTAAAACCCAATGACTTTATTAAATCTATGTTGTCTTCGGTAGGCATAGGGTGAAGCCCTTTACAGTAGAGTATCAAGTGCTCAGACGTCTCGTCCTCCTCTCCACAAGCAGTGCACACTGTATCAATTTCCTGGTACTTCACTCTGTATGTTCTGGTTCGCAGAACACCCGTTCTTGCCTCAAACAGCAATGAGCTTCCCCTAGAATTGTCATAAATGCTTTCTTTGGCAATAACTCTTTTGTTTAATCTATAGCTTTCCAGAGCAGTCTTTGTCTGCATTCCCTCTAGCCACCGATCTCTTTCTGTGGCCTTAACTTTCTTCTTAACTGAGACTTGCTCTTCCGTATCTTCGCTATAGCCCAAAAACCTTCCTCTTAATTTCCTAGTGCGCTGTCTCCACTTTGTGTCTACACTCCTCATGTATAAATAGCTGAAAACCTTTCGTGCCCATTGCTCCCCATCCATTAGCCTCAACCTATCCTCAAATTCTACCTTGCTCACCGCTTCCCTGCTCTCAAATGATGCCCATCCCATGTCTCCTTGTACTCCCTGGTTTGGCGTTTTGCAATGCGCCCCCAAAGCCAGTCTACCTACTCCGCGCTGTTTTATTTCTAGTTTCGCATGCACTTCGGATTTCATGCATAGCACTGCGTTTCCAAAAGTCAAGCCAGGCACCATGACCCCTTTCCAAATCTCTCTCACCACCTCATACCTGTTGTAATTCCAAAGTGCTCTATTTTTCATTACAGCTGCATTTCTGTTGCCCTTACCTATTATATACTTTTCATGGTCTCTGAGATATTCTGCACCATCACATATCCATACTCCTAGATACTTGTATTTACTAGCTCTCTCAACTGTAATATTCTGTATCTTCAGCCTCTCAACTTCATCCTCGTTAAAAATCATGACTGCCGATTTTTCGCTACTGAATTCTAAACCTAATTCCTCTCCTTCCCTACCACAGATGCTCATTAATTCCTGCAACTCTGTCCTGTTGTTAGCCATTAGTACAATATCATCCGCATACATCAATCCCGGTAAGGATTGCTGAATTTTTTGGCCTAGCTTACTGTAAGAAAGGTTGAACCCAAGCCCACTCTTCTCTAGTCTATCCTCCAATCCTCTCAGATACAACATAAACAGCAAAGGCGATAACGGGCACCCCTGCCTAAGGCCTCGTCTTATCTCTATTTTCCCTGTCGCCATTCCTTCCCATGTTATAATCACCTTGTTATCTTTGTAAATGTTCCTTAATAATGCTGTTAGTCCTTCATCTAGGTTTAAGTTCTCCATTATGTCCCACAGGTTTCTTTGGTTCACATTGTCATAGGCACCCTTGATATCCAGAAATGCCAGCCAGAGCTGTCTGTTTTCTTTTTGCGCTATTTCTATACACTGTGTTAGAGAAAATAAGTTGTCCTCCAACCTTCTTTGTTTTCGAAACCCGTTCTGTAACTCGCCCAGTATGCCCTCGCAATCTACCCATTCCTCCAGTCTGTTCTTTATAATCTGCATTACCAACCTGTAAATAACCGGTGTCACGGTTATAGGACGATAATTCCTAATATCAGACTTATCTCCCTTTCCTTTATATATCATACTCATCCTACTAAGCCTCCATTCATCTGGAATATTTCCTTTTGTTATCATGGTACTCACTACCTCCCTTAGTTTTGCCTTAGATTTAGGACCCAAATTCTTCACCAGCTTGATAGGGATACCATCTGTGCCTGTCGACGTGCCACTAGGGACTCTTCGTTGCGCCTTTTCCCATTCTCTTTGTCCAAAATCCGCGATGTCACAAACTGGACTGCTACTTCCTTCGGTTCTCCTATCTTCCACATGTACCCGTTCCCGAAATTTCTCCTCCATCACTGCTCCTATATATTGTATCGCATCATCTCCCTCTAATTGATCTCCCTGATGCGAGAGTATAAACCTCTGTCTAGCTTGCGTTGTTTCACAACACTCTGGACAGCTACCGCCATCTATGAGCGACGACGGCAACCAGAGTGTTGTGTCGACCACGAGTGTCGACATTCGTTTGGTACCGGACACGATCCTGGGGAAACTAGCCTTTAACAGCTCCGCTGTAAAAAAATGTTGGGTCATATGAGACACTATTTATTTATTTTTCATTGGTTCAAACCAATTTATACCGTTTGGTGGTGTAGGTTGAGAGACAAATGTTATTCTTGTTCATTTTAGCTCTGGCTGAGAAAATTTAAAAGGAGTAAATGTCCTACGGCGATCATCCAGATGACAGCCATCTGATAGCAACTATGGCGCCCCCTATAGGCCATGAAAGTTACAAATTCCCACCCCTGCCCGTTTCAATCTTCATGAGCATCGTTTCGCGATGCTGTCGTGTACCACTACTGTGTGATGCATGTTCAAGAACCGAGGCTAGCAGCCGTACCGCATTAGATAAATGTCTTATTTACAGTGTAATCCTCCGCCGCCCTAACACAGAGGGAGACCAACCTTACGGTGTCTAAACGGGAACGTCTAATTTGCTTTGTTCTGCCGGCTCTTCGACATTTAAGCCTCTTCAAATCGGCTATAACTGTATACTTTTCTCTGAAAAGTGAAAAAAAAAGATACAATACATTAGACAAAGCTGTTGTTTTTGTTTTCCTTTTAAAGAAAGCATAAGTTAGTATACCGCGTGACACTGTTAGCGCGGACAAGCGATGCATGAATGTATGCAGCAAACAACCTTCGTAAATGCTTGAGCGGTGTTCCCAGACAATTAATTTATTATGTCTGCCGCAGACACCGTTTATTTCCCGCGTTATATAGGCTGTGTGACTTTGGCTGTCCTCAACAAAACCATTACAGTGGTCGAAAGCACTCATCTGATGCACCAACCTAAATGGTAAATTTTAATGCATGCTAATACCCTTTCTGTGCAAGATAAGAAAAAGCGGCCACAGCATGGCCGTGCTGACATTAGGGACCTTTAGCAAACCGTTGCCGTGCTCCGCTTACCGCACCACCGGGGCCTTTGAAGCATGTTTTTTTGCGCGCGCCCCGCGGTCACGGTACGACCCGGGCGCGCTTGAAGGCATGCTTCAAAGGCTCCGCTAGTGCGATACACGGAGCACGGCAACCGTTTGCTAAAGGTTCCTATTGTCCCGCAGTGTATGTACATACGTACCGAAAGGTGCAGGGTAAGGGTGCTTGCCATGCTGTTGGTACCAGTTGGTACGCACGTCCTCAGTCTCGTAAGTTAGGGCGGTTAGATGACTGTCGTTCATCTTCTCGAAGACGCTCCAGAGTTCCTCGACAGGGCTCAAAAAGAGGGTGTCAGCGTCCACGTACAAGACCGCATCCTCGTTTGGTAGCATCTCCTGCAAGTAACGCCACGCTGAAATCGACATGAAATATCACAATGCACATGTCCTTTTTTTTCTTTCTGGGGGGGGGGGGGGGAGAGTATGATAGTGTTTTATGGATTATAGAGGTACCACCTAGAAGACAAGGGCGGCGTCTCTCCTCCCAACACCGTCACTAGTGGATCCAGGTAGCGCCCCCTGGTTTGCGCGACAATAGCACATAGTGACGCCAAGGTAGACGCGTCTCTCGTCGAGCTTCGGCGTGTTTGCCGCTTGGGGGCGTGTCAAGGATCCACCAACGATGACGTCATGCGCCAGTCTCATCTACTACGCGGTATCCCTTGCAGTCGGCAAAAGATGGAAAAGATGAGAGCTATTGACGCGGTATACTAAGCAATGGGGCCTGGAGCGCGGCTTCGACTGGTGTGCTCACCGTCCTATTCCTCCCCTCCGCATCAGAGAGGTCCCAAATGGACGGCCGCGAGTTAGGTCACGAGAGCCGGCGTCTAGTGCCTGTCGGACGAAGCGATCCTTTAGGTTGGCGGTATAAATGCTGGCGAAAAAAAGGCGAGCGGACTCAAGGACCGCTATCATCGCTGCACCCCATTGAGTGCTTGATTTTGGTTTCATTCAAAAGTCTGGCTGCGGAACGGCCTGCAGTGGAAGAATCGTCTATGTCTATAATGTCATCAGACGGAAATCGACAGTACACTTCCGATGATGCGGTCTAAAGCCACCTAATTAAACATATTCATTGACCGCGGTTACCATGCGTCAATTCATGGTTGCCAAAATGAAAAAAAAAAAAAGAATCGTCAGCGTCTGTAGATATAAAATAATGTTTATTCGCGCTATGATTACGAACGTCCGGAGTATTCTCAACACTAAAATTCATCAAAGCGTGAAAATTTCAAACACTCCTTAAACCACTTTTTGAGACAGTCTAGTTATGGCCATAACTGAATCTATGGACACTTAGCATAAAAAAAGGAAAGACGTTTACAATTCCCTGTAATAATGAATTAGAGCGCAGCTCTTGAGGAGGAGGAGGGGAGGGTACGGAAAGGATGGTATGCTTCTCCTCCTCCTGCGTACCCTCTCCTCCTGCCCTCTTTCTCCCCTCCTCCTTCCCCTCCTCCTCCTCTATCCTCCTCCTTCATCCTCTCATTCTCCTCCCCTCGTCCTCCCCTCCTACTCCTTCCCTCCCTCCCTCCTCCCTTGTGACCCCAGTGACCGTCGTGACGTCACTCGTGAAGGTCGTGACCTTCACGTGGCCTTTACTCGTGAAGGTCGTGACCTCCGTCGTAACCTTCACAAGTGACCTTCATGACGTCATTCGCGACGTCACTCGTGGCCCCCATGACGCCAATCGTGAACCTCGTGACGTCACGTGGGACGTCTATGTGGGAAACGTCCCAGAATGCAACGCGCGGTTACGCCGACGGCGACGCCGCTCAAGCCGGAAGCGGGCTCCCAGGAGCTGAGGTCTAAGAAAACAAAAAACATTGCATTCATACGTGGCTGGTTTTCCTTTTAAAATTTGTATCAATGTTCGATCACCGCGGAACTATCACAAACATAGAAGTTTGGGCTAGTTGGTATTTCATGATTAAACATTAGAACAGCGCAAGGACACGGACAAGAACAAGAACGTAGACGAACAAGGCGCTGACTTACAAATAAAGTTTATTCGTGCTAACATCAAGTATAAATACTGTAACGTCATGACAAACAAACAAAGATAAAATACATATCTTGGACGCCGCGTGCTTCCTAATCACCGTTATGCGCTGTCACCGTGTGTCTAAAGAGGAACATTCCTTATCGGATAAAGATAGTGAAGAAGTGCTGACACAGTTTTCCCCCGATTTTCCAACTTCCCGTGCCTCAATAATTTCTCGAGTGAGTCTGTCTTTACTTTTCCTAATCACTTCACACTTGCCGAAGACGGGAGTGCAGCAGTAGTCATGGCAATGCAGGCCAAGGTGACCTGACACAGCTCTAAAAGCGTTATACTTATGTTCTCGCAAGCGATCATTGAGGCAACGCCCCGTTTGCCCGACGTATCTCCTGCCGCACGAGAGAGGAATCGAGTACACAGCTCCCTCCAAACAAAGTTCACGAATCGGTCATGGTGCTTTTTAGTGCAACCCTGCTTTTCTTTAGAACAGAAGTTCACTTTTCTGCACACTTTTCTGTCCTTGCGTTTTTTTTTAATTTTTAATCACAAACACCAGAGGGTACCGTCGGACAAGGAGAGGCCCTTCTCCATAAAGCACCTGGATTAAGGCGTTTTTTTTACAAGTACCGCCAACCATTGTTGTGGAAACGCGAGAGACATGTGCCATGAGCGGGTGCTCCGCCGCCTATCGACCCCCTTCCCAGGGACGATCCTTTAATGCTCCGCCGCCATTTGCTTCCAAGGGCTGTTCGATACACGGGTCTCGTGCACTGTCGCATTTGACTCTACTTGCAAGACGAACACAGGCAAATCGAGGGGCTTTACTTGATGATGATGATGATAATGATGATCCTGTGACTGTTCTCTCTTTAACGGGCGGGTTCGAATATTCGTGCCCTAGTTAAAATAAAAAATAAAAACAACCTAAAGAGAAAAAAATAACATCACCCCTTGTTTTCAAATATTCTCACGAATAACAGATTATGAGGCGGCGAATAACAGGGCAAAATAAAGTTTAATGGGAGTACCTTGTGCAAAACGAAATAGAAGGTTAATGTCGCAGGTGTCAATATCGGCGAAACAGCAGGATCGAGCACTGGCATGAGACTGCCTCAGGCTCGTCACGCGGAGCCCCATTTGTACATGCGTGGGCTTCTGGAACAATCGGTGTAGAATATTCGGCGCGTAGAACATTCGGATCTCGAACAAGCTACAGGGTTCTTGAGTTTACGAGAACGCGACATTTACAGAAATAACAAAAATGTGCATATCTTGTGCCACCATTCGTCAAGTCTAGCCTTCGGCCTGGGCATACACTGCAGACACGAGTGAGTGTCCTGCCTAGCTGTTTCTGATGGGGCTGAGCTGGCCATGTTTGAGTTTCTACCTCACATTCCGCCTACTCCGCATGTGGACGCATTGCACGCGTGTCTGACTTCAACAGGAAGCCGAGTGCCTCCGCTAGCCTCCTCCTGGCATGGGACTGGTGATGTCTCGCCGGAGGTGGCACGATGGCACTCGCAGAATAGCACCAGCTGCTGTACTGTCTCGGCTCCCTTTCCGCATATAACTTTGCGGTTCTAGCGTAGATATAACTTTGCCGTCAGCGATTTGGGTGTTCCTGCGTCTGCAGGGCCTCCTCTCGAACTTCGAACAGCAAACGACTGTCCAAGCTGTTCTCATATATTCGTCATAAATGCCAACTAGAGGGCTTCTTTTTCACGCACTCTCTTCGCACTTCCCCCTCCCACTTCTCTCCCGTGAGTGCATTCACAGGTTCCGCTAAAAAGCCGAATTTCTTCTCAAATAGTTACAGCCGCCTCTAGCATCGTGTTTGCACTCCCGTCTTGCGTGTGTAGATTAATAACCTTCTGACCCATCGACACCAGCCCATGTGCCGTAGTCGTCTGCCGTAGCCTTCCTTAGTGACCCCCTCCCTTGCCTCAAAGCTCGACCGTCCCAGAAACCCTGGACGGCCTCGTTGATCACATTGCCATGGCAGGCCAGGGCTTGTCGCACTACTTCTCGTTGTCTACTTTCCGGGATGTCGCGAACTCCACAAGGAATGCAAATAACTGCATTGGGAAACGTCAGCTGCGACAGCATCACTGTCTTCCGCACCTTCCGTGCCTCGAGGAACCTGTTGCAGCTCCAAAGACCGCGTTCGCGAAGGATATTGTCCCCTCGGAGAGCTGACTGGCGGAGGTGTGCGTGGTGCTCTTGAAGTATTCCAGAGTGTAGGCCATAGGTATCCCTAAGTATTTCTGGGAGTTCTGAATCGGCACAACCTCGCTACCAAACTAGGAACTATCATGCTGTCTCTTCAGGTCCAGCGAACTGTACCATTGCTGATTGCTTTGCATTAAAACTTAAATGTAGCTTTGTAGCCTCCTCAGTACACACGTCCAGTAGCCGCTGCATATCTTCTGTCGTCTCAGCCATTAGCACAATGTCGTCGGCGTGAGACCTGGCGGCAGCCATTCCACCTCTTGGCCACTTTCTATGTGGTTCAGAGAGAAGCCCGCTGTCGACTGTATTAGCTTTTCATCTGTCCGGGCTACGTAGAGCAAGGATAAATGTAATGAGAGTGGGAATCCCTGTCGGAAGCCATTTGTCACTGCCAGCTCTTCTAACTCCACCTCTGCAAGGTCCTCACCATGTTGCCCGAATAGAGAGATCGGATGATGGAAACATCCTGATGTGACAGCCATAGCTGTTCTAAGCAATGTGCGAGCACTGAGTGTGGTACACTATCATACGTTTTGGCGACGTCCAGAAAGTTGCACTTCTGCCGTCGGTTTTAGTTTCGGGCGACCCTGGGCAATCACATTGTGTGATTGTGACAAGGTTATCTCAAGTCGAGCTTTCCCGTCGAAAGCCTTCCTGCAGCTCGGAAAGGACGCTACTGTCCTCCGCCTATGCTACCATCCGCCCCTTGAGAATATATGCAAATATTCTGATACTGCACTTGTGACAGTGAGAGGCCGATAGCTGCGTTGATGATTTCTGTCGCTTCCTTTCATCGGGATCAGCATCACTTGGCCGAGTCTCCAGACTTCGGGTATAGGTTTTTCCACCCAGGGGATGTCGTTCAGGATGGACGCTAGTTGCTCTCTGGCATTCCTTCCCAAAGCCTTGAGGACAGCGGCCGGAATATGAATCCGCCACTGGGAAATGTTTGTCTTTAGAAGAGTCATTGCGCGCAGCTACGCTTACTTTGCCAATTTCCAACGAGTTGGGGTCACATGGAAACTCAGTAGCCTCTTGATCTTCGGCATTGATCGTGTGCGCGGGGGAGAAGATATCTTTCAAATATGCCGTTAGGTGCGAGCCC